CTGGATCTTTGGGATGAATCAGTCTTTGCCATAATGTATTTTGGGGTTTAAAAGCCACTGGGACATTGCGTTTAGAAAATAAACGTCTTAGTTTCTCTGATACTCTCTCAACATACAGAATGACCACTGGTCTGGGTTCCTCCTTTTCACCTGATGACTGACAGGAGCCCTGTTTGGGTTTCTTCTCTGCTTTCATCAAGGCCCAGTTAGGATATCCACATTGAGAGCATGTCTTGTGTGGGATTTCTCCTTCTGCCTGGCTCCTGAGTTAGTGGGGACGCTGTCTGCTATGTGGTACAACGTTCTAACTCCTAACTTGTGCTCCAAAGGGTGATGGGAGACAAACTGCAAATACTGGTCTGTGTAGGTGGGTTTGCGGTACACCTCAGTTTGCAAATGTCCTCCATCAGAGACTGAGACCTCACAGTCCAAGAAAGCCATCCTGCCATTTTTTACATCTTCTCGTGTAGAGGAAACTGGCTCCTTGGTTCAATTCTGAGTTACGTACTTTTAAAGCAGGCATCTAGAAACCAGGAGAGAAAATGGCGCTCTACTAATGTTGAAGAATTTTATTTAACTTGGAAAGATAGTCTGCTAACATATAAAAAAGCTCTCCATAAAGCTAGAACTTCAATGTCAATTTGTCAATGTCAATTTATTTATATAGCACATAAAAACAACAAAAGCTGACCAAAGTGCTTTACAGTTAAGACAGATTAAAAAATTTAAAAAAGAGTAAAAATGCATCTAGTGCCATTCAAAAACATAAGTTGACAATAAAAACAACACATAACAACAATAAAATCAGCTCAACTTGTTCTCAGACTCTGCGTGGATGAAATGCCAAGGAATACAGATGAGTCTTGAGCAAAGATTTAAAAGTCTCAACAGTCTGAGCGGTCTTTAAATTCTCAGGTAAACTGTTCCACAGTTTTGGAGCAGCAACCGCAAAAGCCCGATCACCTCTGGATTTCAGTTTGGATCTGGGGACATCTAAGAGGAACTGGTTGGTAGCCCGGAGTGCTCTTACTGGAGTGTAAATGTTAATGAGATCACATAAATATGACGGGGCCAGACCTTTTAAGACTTTAAAAACAAGCAATAAAATCTTAAAATCAATTCGGAAGTGGACAGGAAGCCAGTGGAGAGAAGCCAGGACAGGGGTTATGTGTTCATGTTTTTTAGTTGCTTCATACTTCATATTACTCATCTTTAATAGAGGAGAATAAAAATAACCCTAGGTTTTGGTTTAGTACTATTGCTAGACTAATTAAAAGTCCCATTTCTGTTGAACCATGTATCCCCACAACTATAAGTAGTGATGACTTCATGAGATTCTTTATAAATAAAATTATTTCAATTAGAGAGAAAATTCAAACCACCCTTCCTTCTACTACCTCTAGTTCCCTGTCAAATGAGGCAACTTTAAAAATTTCACTAGAGTATGATTTATGGTTGGACAGTTTTGTTTCTGTTGAGCTCTCTGAATTGTCAAAAATAACCTCATCCAAACCATCCATATGTCTGCCAGATCCCATCATAACAAGACTGTTTAAAGAGGTATTTCCCCCAATTAATGTCCACATTTTGGATGTACTTAATTTGTCTTTAATGAATGGTTATGTACCACAGCGCTTTAAGGTTGCTGTAATTAAGCCTTTACTTAAGAAGTCTGACCTTGATTCAGAAATTCTGGCCAACTATAGACCTATATCTAATCTAACTTTCATCTAAAAAATTCTAGAGAAAATGGTTTAAATCATATCTATCTGATAGATTCCAGTTTGTAAATGTAAATAATAAATCTTCTTCATACACCAAAGTTAGTCATGGAGTTCCTCAGGGCCCAGTGCTTGGGCCAATACTCTTTACTTTATATATGCTTCCACTGGGTAAAATTATTAAACAGCATGGGATAAATTTTCATTTTTATGCTGATGACACACAATTATATTTTTCCATTAAACCCAATGAATCCAATCAGCTACTTACACTACAAGCATGTCTTAAAGACATAAAAACCTGGATGACCCTTAAATTTCTCCAGTTGAACAAAGACAAGTCTGAGGTTTTAGTTTTTGGACCTGAGCACCTTAGGAACTAATTTTTCAGTCTTTATCCCTCCTTAGATGGCATTAATCTGTCCTCCAGCTCTAATGTTAAAAATCTTGGTGTTATTTTTGATCAGGACACATCTTTTATCCCCCACATTAAAAACGTTACTAGAACTGCCTTCTTCCACCTGCGTAATATCACTAAAATTAGAAACATCTTATCTAAAAATGATGCAGAAAAACTGGTTCATGCATTTGTCATGCCTAGACTGGACTATTGCAATGGTTTATTATCTGGATGTCCAAATACTTCCTTAAAACGTCTTCAGTTGATCCAAAATGCTGCTGCCAGAGTCTTAACTGGAGTTAGTAGGAGAGATCATATTTCTCCAGTTTTAGCTTCTCTCCAGTGGCTCCCTGTCAAGACCAGAATGTAATTCAAAATCTTACTTCTAACCTACAAAGCTCTCAACAACCTGGCTCCATCTTATATTACAGATCTTATTGTTCCATATTTTCCTAAGAGAGCACTTCGCTCTCAGAATGCAGGTTTACTTGTGGTTCCTAGAATTTACAAAAACAGAATGGGAAGTAGATCTTTCAGTTATCAGGCTCCTCTCTTGTGGAACCAACTTCCAACCTCCATCCATGAGGTTGACACATTATCCAGTTTTAAAACTAGGCTTAAGACTTTCCTTTTTGCTTTTCCTATAGTTAGGGTCGGCTTGGGTTTCCTGAGATGTCCCTTAGTTATGCTGCTATAGGCTTAGACTGCTGGATGACAAACTGACCACAATTTTCACTCTACTTCTGTCTTTACTTACTCTGCTCAACCTGTTTTGTATTTGTAATTGTTTTTTCTATCCTTAACATGTGTTTTTTTTGTCTTTCAGATACACCTGGACCTACCATTCTATGCTCGTCTGTCTCTCCTTCCTGTCCTCTCAAACCAGCCGGTCAAAGCAGAAGGCCGCTTGTCCTGAGCCTGGATCTGCTGGAGGTTTCTGCCTTTTAAAAGAGAGTTTTTCCTTTCCACTGTTGTCATTGTGCTTGCTCAGGATGGGAGACTGCAATTAAGCCAAGATTCAACTTGTCTGCTGGATTCCTTAGATAGAGAACTTTACCAATTGGCTTTTATGTATGTGAATGTTCCTGTAAAGTGCCCTGAGACAACTTTGTTGTGACTTGGCGCTATATAAATAAACTGAATTGAATTGAACTTGATGTATTTTTCCACAGAGTTGATATGGTCAGGAAAATGTTGGACTTCCTGAGATTTGATTTTAACCCAGGTGTCATCAACATACCTGAACCAATGACTTGGTGGTGTCCCTGAAAAGGACGTCATGGCTCCCTTTGCTACCGCCTTCATGTACAGGTTGGTAACAATAGGAGAAACTGGAGACCCCATAGCACACCCATGTTTCTACCTATTATATTGCTCCCCATATGTGAAGTAGGTTGACTGCAGGCACAGTTTCAAGAGTTGACACAGTTGTTCTGTGTAAAGTGTTGTCCTGCTGCTCAGAGTGGTGTCTGATTTTAATCTTAAACTGACCACCTCTACTGCATCATCAACAGGAATGCACGTAAAGAGTGATGTGACATCAAAAGAGACCATCGTTTCATTAGTCTCCATGATGACATCCCTCACTTTATCCACAAAGTCCATGGTGTTCTGTATGTGGTGTTCTGAGCTGCCAACTGTAAAAACGCTCTTATCTGCTGTGCTGTATTGCTCGATATATCACAACTGTATCTTGTCTTTTATTTGTATCTGCTTGACTTTTGGATCTGCTTGTCTTTTGGTATCAACAAGTACAGACTGAACTAAGTCAGAGAATGTATTTGAGTTTGTTGTGTACAGGACACGAACTAACAGAGAGCTACTGGTATGTGTCCCACCTGATAACAAGATCACCAATAAACTGGAACGGAAGAAGAAAATGATAAAACAACTCCATAAAAGGACTTCCAGGAAATGAAGACATCAGTTTGAACTGGTTTAGACAAAGAACTGAAAGAATGTTGTGAAACGTCTCTGGGTGGAGCATTTGTGCATAAATACAGAAGAAGCTGAAGCTCCGGTCAGAAGCATCTTGGGTTTTTGCTGTTTTGCTGTATCTCTGTTGGATTGGGTTAAGAGCATCTCCTTTCAGCTGAAAGCTTTAATAAATGTTGGTAATACTTTTTAACTTTAATCTCTTCGACTGATTATTGTGTCTTTTCTCCATGAATCTCCGAACCAATGAGGGGAACAGGTGAATAGGCTGAAAAGTCTGAGTTGTTGTGTTGATTTTTCCTTGACAACTAAAGGGATGAGTAAAGGAGGCCATCTTTGTGAAGAGAAATCGTCCATCATTAAACAGGGGTGGAGGCCTCCGTGTTCAACTGTCCCCCTCTTACAATGCTGTTATTTGCTAGTATCACTCAGCCCTCTGTGAATAGTAAACAGCCATCAGTGTGCTAATGATCCATCGTTAGGCTGATGGTTCTTCTTGATCATGTGAGCGGCTGGTTTTGGTTGTCAGCAGCAAAACTGGTTGATCCACTCTGAGAAGGTGCTATTTATAAGACTGAGCTGAATACAGCACCTCAGACTGAGGAAGTCTTTCGGATGAAAGACAAAACGTTTCT